ATATGCACATGCCACAGTGTGCACCATAGCCTGCTTGTGGAGGTCAGAAGACAGTTCTGAGGAATCATGTACCTCTGTGTGGATTCCAAGGGCAAACTCAGGTTGTCAGGCCTGCATGACAAGTGCCTTACATAGAGTCATTTACCAGCCCCGTTCCTGCCCTGTTCACCTGAGTGCTGGGGATGGAATTTCCCTTCGCTTGCAGGACCATATACAGTCTGTCCCCATGTGCGTCTCTTATTTCCTCTTGTTTGTGTGCCTCTTACACATGGTTGGTGTCAGTGTGCCCTGTTGTCTTCCTAAACAAGCTGAGCGTGCTTGCATCAGGCAGGATGCGTTTACTGCCCTCTGACAGGAACAGGGATGGAGGGTGATTCTGGTCTCAGGTCAGGTTTCTCCTCAGGGATGCCTCTTTTATTTAAGACTGCTTTAATAGCCTGGTGTGGTGGTGCATGCTTTTAATCCCAGCACTCTGGAGGCAGAGGCAAGCAGATCTCTGTGAGTTTGAAGCCAGCCTGGTCTACAGAGTGAGTTCCAGGACAGCCAGGGCTACACAGAGAAACCCTGTCTTGAAAAACAAACAAAAGACTGGCCTTGAATTTGCTGTGTAGCTAAGGATGGCCTTGAAATCCTGATCTTCCTGCCGTTGCTTCCTGGATTACAGGCACCAGCACCATGCTTTTAGTGTATGTCACGTTAGTCAGATTTGTTTAATTCGTGAAACTTGCATTAATTGAAAGTGTTACCATATTTTCTGTCTTCCTCCAGCATAAACTGTGTGGCAGCAGGGTCCATGCTTCATCTCCTAGAGCAGTGCATGGTTCCTAGGTAGTGCTCCAGGGACTTGTGGTTGAGATGAGTGTGTTCTAGCCAACCAGCAACCTCTTGTAATCTTAGGATCTAGTGAAAGATGGGTCAGGGCTTGCTTAGCTGGTCCGGATGCCGTCCTATGGATAGCAGACATGTCCCATCATTCTCTCTTTCTTTCCTCCATAGCTGAGTCTACCTCAGGTCGAGGCCAGTGCCTGAAGCGCATCCGTTACCATGGCCGAGGTCGCTTTGGCATCATGGAGAAGGTCTATTGCCACTATTTTGTGAAGCTGGTGGAAGGACCCCCACCCCTCCCCGAAGCACCCAAGACAACAGTCGACCATGCCAAGGAGTATATTCAGCAGCTTCGAAACCGGACCATCATCCACACTCTGTGATGGCCATTCTGGCTCACAGTGTATATATTTTACATTTGTTTTTAAAAGTAAAAACAAATAGCTTTTATGCTTTGTCATTGAATTATTGAAGTGCAGTGTATGACTGCAGGGGTTTTTTTTGTGTGTGTGTACATTTGTTTTAAAAAGTAAAAACAAATAAGCCGGGCGGTGGTGGCGCACGCCTTTAATCCCAGCACTCGGGAGGCAGAGCCAGGCGGATCTCTGTGAGTTCGAGGCCAGCCTGGGACTACCAAGTGAGTTCCAGGAAAGGCGCAAAGCTACACAGAGAAACCCTGTCTCGAAAAACCAAAAAAAAAAAAAAAAGTAAAAACAAATAGTTTTTATGCTTTGTCATTGAATTATTGAAGTGCTGTGTATGACTGCAGGGTTTTTTTTTTTTTTTTTGTGTGTGTGTGTGTGTGTGTGTGTGTGTGTGTGTGTGTGTGTGTGTGTGTATGTGTGTGGGGGGGGTTCCTATGCAGGTGTGTGGGTGTACATATCCCTGTGTGCATGTGCAGAGCCAGAGGATGATTTTGTTCCATTTTTCAAGATGAAGAGGACTTGAACCAACCTTAGCATTGCAGTCTAAAACCAGACAGTAGGTGGCGCTCTCATAGCGGGAATTAATATCAAAGTAGTACTGTCTGGCTCTCATAAATCCCTCCCACCTCCTCCCTCTCTCCTTCCATCTTTTCCTCCCTTCCTCTGTCTGTCTGTCTGTCTGTCTGTGAAGAATGACATTAGTATTTTGATGTGATTGCTTGATCTGTATGTTACTCCTTATAGTAGGAACACTAGGAACACGAACCAAAATCCTCAATTTCAGGCTCTTTTTTTTTTTTTTTTTTAAACTTCAGCTTCTCTTCAGTGTAACTGCTAGCACAGCGCTTGGTAAATGACAAGATCCTCTTAAATACTAAGTTTGGGGCCAGGCTAGACAACATGGTACAGATAGCCACAGTAACAAAACCCGCATGCTATTGATATGTAAGAAACCTGAGACACACAGAGCAATTGGACAAGACAGACACCCCAGGATAAACTCACTTATCCACAGCACTGGGTCTCAGGCATGGTAGGCAAATGCTCTACCACTCAGCTACATCCCAGACACTGCTTAAAACTATTAAAACAGTGCATTATGAGCAGTTATTAAGAGCGCTTGCTGCTCTTGGAGGTGACCTGAGTTTGGTTCCTGGCATTCACATGAGTAGCTCACAACTGCTTGTAACTCCAGCTGTAGGGGTATCCCCACCCTGAAGGCCTCTGAAGGTGCTTACACTCGTGCACATACACATACTTAAAAATAAAATTCATCCTTAAAAAAATACAATACTCGGGCTGGAGGGCTGGCTCAGCGGTTAAGAACACTGACTGCTCTTCCAGAGGTCCTGAGTTCAATTCCCAGCAGCCACATGATGGCGTGCAGGCATATATGCAGGCAGAATACTGTACAAATAATAGATAAATCTTTTTAAAAAAATACAATACTTTATAAATTTCTCAATTTTAAACTATCTTTTCTAGCCAACATATTCTCTTTAAAACATTTTTTTAGGCCGGGTGGTGGTGGCGCACGCCTTTAATCCCAGCACTCGGGAGGCAGAGACAGGAGGATCTCTGTGAGTTCGAGGCCAGCCTGGGCTATCAAGTGAGTCCCAGGAAAGGCGCAAAGCTACACAGAGAAACCCTGTCTCGAAAAACCAAAAAAAAAAAAACACATTTTTTTAATTTTGTGTAGAGATGCTTTTACAGTGTGCATTATCTGTGCACCGTGTGTGTGCAGTGCCTGCAGAGGTGAGAAGAGGGCTTCGGATGGAGTTACAGACAGTTGGGAGCCGCCATGTGGGTGTGCTATCTCTCCAGCCTGCCCACATATTCTCAACAAAGGTGCCAGAAACAAGGAGAAATGACGGGTAAGGTATGGTGCTAGGGAAACAGGGTGTATACAAGCAGGATGATAAAATGTCCATCTCTCCGCCTGTGCAAAAAGCAACTCGGAATGGGTTAAAGACCCAAGCGCAGCTAGAAATGGAGTCAGAAAACAGAAAAAGACGCTGGGAAGATGATGCTGGAAAGCGGGTCCCCACATGGCTCCTGTCAGCCTAACAGCTTCCTGACAGCAGAGAGCCGCCAGGTGAGCAGGCTGCAGTGAGAACAGGGTGGGAGCCACATCCACAGAGAGCGGAACGGAATCCACTTTCAGCCCATGGAGCCGTCCTGCGCCTTTAATCCCTGCGCTCAGGAAGCAGGGGACGGGTGGATCTCTGAGTTTGAGGTCAGCCTGGTCTACATATTGAATTCTAGGCTAGCCAAGGCTACACAGTGAGACTCTGTTTTTAAAAAAAAAAAAAAAATCCCATGTTTAAAATAGGCAAATGATCTGAATATCCCTTTGTGAAAAATAAATACCAGCAGCGCAAAGGTAGATGAGAACCAGTGAGGTTAGAACCGCCCTCAGGTCCAGCCTTGTCACTCCTGGGGATACACAAAAGGGGTGTCTGCACACGATTAACACATACTCGTCATGCCTGCAGACAAGAGACAACTTTTCACATAGGAAGCCAAAGATACCCTGTTTACAGCCAAATGTGTGAAAGCCACAGGGCCTGTGTTTAGTCACGAGAGACCGACAACTGCACTTCCTCATGTGTGGAAACTGAGGAACTGAAAGTGATTACCGGGGTTCTGGGACCGGCAGGCAGGGTGCACTGGCCAGCACATCCTGTCAATAAACATGGAAACCGAACTCTGCGCAAATGAAGACCAAGGGGCAGAAGGGCTAAATATAATCCAAGTATACCACATGCATGCAGACAGTGTCTTGAAACCACTCAAATGACTAGAGTGGCAATTTACAGGAAAATGTGCAATGGATATGTGTCAATGAAAAGAGTCAGGTTCTTTCTACAACTCTTCAGTGGTGCTCCATGATGACATGCAGGGCTCTGGGGGCTGCAGAGAACCAGGCAGCTAGATGCTGAGCCAGGGTTAGGGAGCAGGGCTGCACTGTGGAGTGCTGGCCTGCAGCGTTCAAAGCTGTGAGTCCCTCCTAGTCTTTGTTCAAAATTCCCCATAACTGTTTTAAAACACGTTCCCTGGATCCGCAGGGGGGTTGGTCAGGAAAGCCGGACTATCAGGAATTTCCCACAGGATTGTTACGTTGGTAATGAAATAAATAAGGAAGTGAAACAGAGTGGGAAGACATCTACAAATTAGAGTCAGGAATCCACTGCCACTTCCTAGGTTAAGATAAGAAAAGAAAGAACTGCCAGAGCTGAGGGCTTGTGGCTTCCTGCCAAAAGCTAGAGCCAGGAAGAGTCCTGTTGTTCTGGAGCTCTCAGATGCAATCTCAGGGTGGGCTGGCCATTCTTGAGAGCACTCAGTGAAACCACTGGCCTTGTGTGAAGTCTGCCGCTTCCTTGGTAAAAAGGGTTTTTATAGTTTCAACATTATTTCTGTTGAAGAGAGACAGAACGAGCCAGAGCTATTAATAGCTCTCCCGGGTCCTGAGAGCTATTCTAGCAAGTGGTTGAGCCTGAGCCTGAGCAAACTTTCATTTTTTTCTTCTATGTGGGACCTCAAGATTTGCTGAGAGTCCAGAGTGAGTTAAGGAGGAAACTCAAGAGAGTTTTGGAAAGTCTGCCCCCAGGACAGGGGCTTAAAGTAAACACATTATTTTATCATCCCCACAGAGACTGGTTGTGCAGGGGGTGGAGCAAGGCCATGGGTGGTTTGTGGGCTCTGAGTTCTGGTTCAGCTCTTGGACAGCATAAATACAACCTGGGGTCTAGATGACATGACCCCTCCTCAGTCACAGCACCCTCCTGCCCGGATTCCTGCCCCTTCCCCTCCTCACCATGTCCAAAGCAGGCTGAGCCAACTCTATGGCCCTGTTGGCTTTCGGTTTCTATGCCTAGAAATTGTCACGTTATGGGAAGTTTACTTTCATTTTCACATTCCTCGAAGTTCCTGCTCTGCATTGTTGGTGGGGTTTCCTCCCTTTGTTGACTGGATTCCTGTGAGGGCAGGGCAGCAGCTAGGGGTAAACCTCAGCGCTCTTCATGCACAGCTCCGCCTCCTCCTCGGCAGCAGTCACACAAATGCAGCACACTGGGATCTCCGAGTGAAGTCCGATCTGTGCAGGTCTGGGTGCGCTTGGTGTGCCTGACGCTGTGGGACGCCCTTCCCTGGACCCACTCTCCTCGGCTCTGCTAGTGGGAAGGTTCGGAGCTCAACTCAGCCACCAGAGAGCTCTTTTTCTCAAGGGAGCTGGTGAGTGAGAAGGATATATTATTAATTATTGCAGGTCTACGAATAGGATTGTAGGCTGTAAGTCTGTGGGTAGAACAGCCTGCATGCCTGATGTGGTTGAGGTGCCACGGAGTTAGGCTGAGGGGCAGGACGGGTGGAAGACAGCTGAAAGTCATTCAGAGAACTGAATATCTGAAATATTTTCAGAGAGCATTCATATCCAGGCTATGGAAAAGACAGAGGTATTGAAGGATAGGGACTATATACTTGAGAACTGGCACCAGATATCTCCTGATCTCCTATCCAATATCTAAACACTGTTGACCTGGAAAACAAGGAACATTAGCTAACCACAAACTCAAGAGTTCATGTGTCTTCCTGAACTCTGATTTCTCCACCAAACTGTGGGCTTGGCCTTGGCCTCTGCAAAGAACTCTGTCTTCAGAACTTCCACCTTGAAACCCAGCTCTGATCTTGGGGAACAGTAGGACTCCCCTCCTTCATGTCTCTCAATGTCTGCTTCTTTGATGGTTAATCTTAAGGTGGAGGGGGCTGGGGATGCAGCTCAGTGGTAGCATACTTGCCTAACATGCACAAGGCCATGGTTTCAATCCTTAGAACCCTCCAAAAAAGTGCTTACTTTTAAGGTGGAAGGCATTACACTGTGTTTACAGGGTTGTTAGAACATAGTGCAAGAATGTGTACAGAGGCACACAAGCTTCATAGGACACGCCCCTTACATTCCCTCTCATTTTGCCCTGACTTGTTAGATGCACTCCCAACACTTAGAAGACTAGGTTCTGAGGGTTCACCTCTTTGGTCCTCAGACTTGCTCATCCTAACACTTAGTACATATTCTCAGAGATGCTGCTGAGTGGGACAGTTGCTGCTGTCTACACATGTTGGATGCTTAAGAATTCCCCATCTGGTGTGTGTGTGTGTGTGTGTGTGTGTGTGTGTGTGTGTGTGTCCCTGTGTCCACACAGGACTATGTGTGTGGATATTCACGCTGGACAGTCACACATACTCATAGTGGTTGATAGCTCCCTTACCTACCAGTGACAAGCCAGATGTCTCTAGTTCTGTCAAGGAGATTTCTTGCCATCTCTGGTCAGACACATACCAAGCCAGAACTCGTATACCTGCTCAGAGGAATTCTTCCCAAGCTCCACCCGCCCTTTCTAGCCCTCCTGTAACAAGCAGTCACCAGAGAGGCCCCAGTGGAAGGGCCTACGCCCTCACTGTAGCCAGAGGCCTTTCTTCAGCCTGCCTTCTGCCCCAACACCTGTCCTGAGTGGTGGTGGCTTGGTTTCCTGATCTAGCAATTTTACCCCTTCTCTTTGAGGTTCAGGGTAGAGGGTTTGCATCCCATTCATTAGGTTTAGTCCTGGACATTTGATTTCTTCTTGTGTCCTGGGTCAAAAGTCTTCTGTGACCTGAGAGGTCATGGCAGTTCCAAAGTGACAGGGGGATCTTCTTGGTGAGACTGACAATGGCCTCTTCAACCCCTATTCTTGTGTCATCCACACTGTCTCTGCTTCCTGTGACACACATTCTTCAGGAGTCAGTCCCCCAGGTGACTCTCTTCCTGGGATGTTTGGATTCTTTGCACACAAGGTGGAGATGGGTGAGGAGTGGGCTCAGCTCAGTGGACGGCCTCTTAGAAAATCCCCACAGAGGGGTGAGTTGACGCAGTAGGTAAAGGCACTGGACACCAAGCCTGATGACCTGAACTCTATCTCCCGGCCCTGCGTGGTAGAGAGAGAGAGAACTGGCTCTCATAAGTTACTTTACGAGTTACAACCTCTGCTTGTGCACCCCATCCACATGTAAAGGAATGGCATTGAATACCCCAGAGGGTTTTCTTCTTTTTTGTTTTCCTTTTTTTAAATTAAGATTTTACTTTTTTCTCTTTCTTTCTTTCTCTCTCTCTCTCTCTCTCTCTCTCTCTCTCTCTCTCTCTTTCTTTCTTTCTTTCTTTTTTTCCAGAGCTGAGGACCGATCCCAGGGCCTTGGGCTTGCTAGGCAAGTGCTCTACTACTGAGCTAAATCCCCAACCCCAAGATTTTACTTTTTAAGAGAAGTTTTAGCTCCACAGAGAAATCAAGAGACAGGTAGTGACTTCTCACAGGCTGCTGTCTCTACACATACATGGTCTGCCCCATAGATTGCTGTCCCAACACATGCATGGGCTCCCCCATCACCAGCATCCCCACCAGAATGGTGAACTGTCACTCATATGCTGTGGTCAGACAAGGTCCAGAGACTCTGTGAGAGTTGCCTCCAGGTTGTATTCATCCAAGATGCATCTCAGCACACACCCAGTTATGGTGTCACACTGAGTATTTTCACTGTCCACAACCCTTGGTGTTGACTTTTCACTCAGGCTCCCACAACAAGTGGCAACCACTGACTTGATTTTCCCATAACTTTGCCTTATCTGGAAGGTCACCAGGCATGTGTGATGTGCTGTAGAGTCATGTAGCCTTTAGAGGTGGCTTTTTCCACTTAGTCTTTTCATGGCTTCAGAGTTCAGCTCTTGAACTTCTGCATAGTACATCGTCGTCATGGGGATTCCACGTCTTATTAGTTCATTCACCTGCCAAAGGGCATCCTAGCTATTTCCAAGGTTTGTAATTATGATTAAACCCTCTAGAAACATCCATGTGCATGTTTTGGTGGGAACAAACATGAAAATGTACAGGAACACGCATGTTGACTGTGCGTAGTGCTAAAGAAACTGCCACGCTGTCTTCCAAAGTGAGTGTTCCATTTTACTTTTTACTTTACTTTTGGTGTTTTGAAACAGGGACTATACCTTGGAACTCATTATGTAGACCAGGCTGGTCTTGAACTTAAAGATCCTGCTTCTGCCTCTGAGTGCTGAGATTTAAAGGTGGGTGCCACCATGTCTAGCTTTTTTGGTGCATTTTTTAATGATGCTGTTTGTTCTTGTTGCTCAGTTTCAAGAGTTATGTATACATTTTTGGGTCACAATCTTTTATTGGCAGTGACTTTGTAAGTATTTTCTCTTATCTGTGATTATTTTGTCAGTCTCCTGATAATATTTGTCTTTTATAGAGAAGTAGTGGGGTTTATTGCTAGGATTTATTTTATTTTTATTTATGTATATGTGTGTTTGACTTCATGTGGGTATGTATGTACATGTGCATGCAGGTGCCCTCAGACTCCAGAAGAGGGCGCCTGACCTCCTGGTTATATGTTGTTCTGAGCCCCCTGATCTGGGTACTGGGAATTGAACTTGGTTCCATGTAAGAGCAGCAAGTGCCCTTAAGTGCTGTCATCTCTCCAACTGGACTCTATTTTACGTGGTTCTGTTTGTTTACTCTCAGCAAACCCATACTGTCTTACTGTCTTATAACTTTATGCTAAGTCTTGATTTTTGTGTGTATGTCGTAGAGGGGATTGAACCCAGGGCCAGGAGCAAGCTAGGCAAACATTATGCCTCTGTGTAACACTCTCGGTTTCCAGGGTGTCTCATAGTCAGGAACTGTCACACCACAAATGGTCTGCAGGGTGGGGGCCCTTTCTCCTTTTGCTTATTAGATGGTGTTGTGTCCAAACTTTTTTTCAAAATAATAAAAATAAAACAAGATGAAAAATAACATAGGCTAAAAAGTTTGGATTGAGAAATCAGATCTTGAAATTAATGAACAATCTCTCGGGGAAGCAAAGCAGCCAAGTCCTAGAAACATCCAAGAACAGAGCAGGGCAATGCTCCTCCCAGTCCTAGTGTGAGTTTGGAGAGCAGCTTCTGCCTGAATGGCAGAGTTGAGTCCTTCCGTGCTGTGCTGACCTTTGACCTTCTTTCCCACTTCTGCCTTCCCTCCAGTGTCTTTTGCTGCCCACAGCCATGGGTCAGTCTTCTTCCTCACCTGATGCAAAGGACCACAGTATGGCCTCCAGCTTTAACGCATTTTTCAAAACTTTCAAGATGGAAAGTAAGATCATTTCTGAGGAGACCATCAATTCAATTCAGTCGTTTCTGCAGGAAGGGGACATACAGAAGACAATTTCCACGATCAATGCTGCTTTGGCAGACATTGAGAAAGCCCCTCTGAGCATCGCAGTGACAGGGGAGACCGGGGCAGGAAAGTCCACATTCATCAATGCCCTGCGGGGCATAGGACACGAAGAGATTGAATCAGCTAGGATTGGCGTAGTGGAGATCACAATGAAAAGACAGCCTTATACCCACCCTAAGTTCCCTAATGTGACCATCTGGGATCTCCCTGGGGTGGGGACAACTACCTTTAAGCCAGAAAAATACCTGAAGGATATGGAGTTCCAGGAGTATGACTTTTTTGTTATCGTCTCAGCCACTCGCTTTAGAGAGAATGATGCCCAGCTGGCCAAAGCAATTGCAAAAATGAAAAAGAATTTCTATTTTGTTCGAACAAAAATTGATAGTGATTTGTGGAATGCGGAAAAATGTAGACCCAAGACCTTTAATAAGGAAAAAATCCTGGAGGATATCCGCAAAGACTGTGTGGAGAAGCTCCAGAAGGCCGATGTAGCCTCCTCTCGAGTCTTCTTAGTCTCCAGCACGGAGGTAGCACAGTTCGATTTTCCTCGCTTGGAGTCCACCCTTTTGAAAGAGCTGCCGGCACACAAGCGTCACATCTTCATGCAGTGCGTGCCTAACATAACCGAGGCTGCTATTGATCGCAGGAAAGATGTCCTGAAGCAGAAGATCTGGCTGGAGGCTCTGAAGTCTGGAGCATTGGCCACCATCCCTATGATGTCTTTCTTCAAGGAGGACATTGAGGAGCTGGAGAAGACCCTGAACTACTACAGGTCTTGCTTTGGGCTGGATGACAGGTCACTGGAAAACATGGCCAGCGATTTGTCCCTGCCTGTGGAGAAGCTGGTGTCCAGCATTCAGTCACCGCATTTGCTGTCAAGTGAGATGGACGAGCCTGTGGGGGAAAAACTGGTGAAATACCTGGAGAAAATTTTTGCTGTCACTGGCGGACTCATAGCCACTGGCCTTTACTTTAGAAAGAGTTACTACCTCCAAAATTATTTCCTTGACATAGTGACTGATGATGCTAAAACTCTACTTAAGAAAAGAGTTTTTTTGGAGGACTGTGGGGATTCTGATGAAGGCCATAAAGACGGGAAAAATGAGACAGCTGGCCTGTGACTTAGGTGACGTTAGTGTTTTCAGGACACTGGGGACTGGAAAGATGGCTTAGGGTGTTCCTGAAGCACCCTGGTGCAGGAAATCACAGCCAGGCCTAACATCAACTGAAGTCTCCAGGAAGAAGATAGGGCCCCCCAACAACAACAAATACACGTGGACAATAATAATATCACTAAGCTCACCAACATCTACAGATCAGCTTTGAACTACAAAGTGCTCAGAGCAATTTTGAGAAGGCTAGCTGAGATGATCCAGTCTCAAAGACTACTTGAATAAGGACTTGAGATAAACCCTGAACTTTGGCATTATATACAGACTGGATAATGAAGGATACAGTTACCTTTCCTAGATTTTGACAATTAACCTAAAATTTTTCTTTCAGGATAAAGATAACTTCGCCCATACCCAGCAGGAAGCAATTTTAAGAACACGACACCCACATTCCCAAAGAGGTGGTGTGGGGCGGGTGGCTTTTTGGTCTTTTTAATGGGTTTTGGGTCTGGGATAATTTTCATTGTTTACAGGGGTTGGTTACAAGTTGTTGTCAAGGATTAGGAAAAAGGCTAAGCAAAGGAGATTAGATTTAAGGTTCTTGTTTAAAAGAAGAAGAAGAAGAAGAAGAAGAAGAAGAAGAAGAAGAAGAAGAAGAAGAAGAAGAAGAAGAAGAAAAGAAAAAGACAATTGCTAGTTTTAAATACTTTACATTGGATTGGATTGTTTTATATTGTATACAAATTTGAAATTGATATTGTTAGAAAATGCTATATGTATATTTCTAATTGTACTTATACCGTTCATTTAACAATGTAATGCAATTTTCTGATCCTTGAATGCTATTTTTTTTTTTTTTTTTTTTTTTTTTTTGGTTTTTCGAGACAGGGTGTCTCTGTGTAGCTTTGCGCCTCTCCTGGAACTCACTTGGTAGCCCAGGCTGGCCTCGAACTCACAGAGATCCTCCTGGCTCTGCCTCCCGAGTGCTGGGATTAAAGGCGTGCGCCACCACCGCCCAGCTTAGCTGTGGGATTTTAAGATGGATTGAGTCTAGGGGCTGGAGAGATGGCGCAGAGGTTTCAGAGCATGTGCTATCCTTGTCCAGGACTTGAGTTTGGTTCCCAGAACCCATGTCAGGCAGCTCGCAAACCCCAATAACTTCAGCTCTAGGGGATCTGACACCTCTTCTGGCCTCTAAGGGCACCTGCCCTCACAAACACATACCCACACATAGACACATAATGAAACAGGAAACCAAATCTTCCGCAAAATGGGCAAGCCTATAAACAGCTCAAATGTTCCTTTAGTGGGGGTGGGGCAGCCAGACGGTTGCCTGGCAACCAGACAAAGATAAGGACTAGCACCCACGTCTCTCTAGTCGCCTTCCTAGACGCAAATCACTAGATGTAGCCACAGTGTGCACAGTGAGTCACTGTTGAGCTGTGTAAATTCAAGACAAGGGTGTATTTTCACACCTATCCTAAAGAATTCAGTTCATTTAGTTTAAGTAGAGGTATGACACTGTGTAGAGGAGCAGGATAAGTGCTCAACTGAGAATAAAATATGGTCATTTAGCTGGGCGGGAGGTGGTGGCACCCGTCTTTAATCCCACGAGGATCTCTGAGTTCAAGGCCAGCCTGGTCTACAGAGTGAGTTCCAGGACAGCCAGGGCTACACAGAGAAACCCTGTCTTGAAGAACCAAGGGAAAAGAGGGGGAAAAAAGGTCATCTAATAGCTGCTTAGTTAATACTTCAAGATAACATTTCTAGGAGTAGAGTAAGAAATGAAACGAATCGTGCTTGTTGGCATGAGCAAAGATTATATTTTAAAATTGAAAAAATACATTCCTACGAAAGTAAACATCTAGTGGAACATATCCCAAGGGCACAAATAAAACTAAGAAATCTTAAGCTTTTTATTAACAATACTGATCATAACAATAGCTGTCATAAAGCTGTTGCTTTACTGGGAGTGTGGTATACTATAACACAACAAGGCAAACAAGCCCATGTTAACGTCACAGAATAATAAGAATTCGGTATAATAGATGAGGCACAAAGTGGGGCCGGAGAGATGGCTCAGCAGTTAAGAGCAATTGCTGCTTTTTGCAGAGGATCCAAGTTCATTTTGAGCACTTAGGCTAGATGGCCCACAACGGCCTGCAACTGCAGCTCCAGGGAGAACACCCTGTGACCTCCACAGGTACTCACATGCACCCAGCCACACACAATTAAAAAAACATTCATAACACAGTTAAAAAAACAAAAACAAGAAAGAAAGCCGTGTTCTAACTTTGTGTACTAAACAGGCCCCTTAGCAGTTCCTGTTCTCTCCAGGAGCAATGGACATTCCTAGCACAATTCTTGGGCTTAGAGTTCTGCTCTGCAGCGATTAGTGGGGCAGCAAGTTGAGGCAGAGCTTTAGTGCAGCAGAGGAAAAGGAGACGCTACACCCTTTGGTTATTGTGGTGGTTTGACAGAAAATGACCCCCAAAGAAAGTGGCACTATTGGGAGGTGTGGTCTTATTGGAAGAAGTATGTCACTATGGACCCAGGCTTTGAGGTCTCATATATGCTCAAGCCATGCCCAGTGTCTCGGACCACTTCCTGTTGCCTGTGGGTCAAGATGTAAGAATTCTCAGCACCTTCTCCAGCACCATGTCTGCCTTGCTTCCCGCCATGACAATGATGGACTAAACCTCTGAAGTGTTAGCAAGCCACCTCAATTAAATGTGTTTTTTTGTTTTGTTTTGTTTTTTATAAGAGTTGCTATGGTCGAGGTGTCTCTTCACAGCCATAGAAACCCTAACTAAGATAGTTATGGACCCAAAGAACTGTCAAAGCTAAGGCTGTGTCAAAGGAAGTGAAACATAGCTTTCTGTTAAACAAACAAGGGTCTGTTTCGAGATCCATGTGTGTGACATGTGAGGGAAACTGGGATGTCAGATAAAACCAACAATGTCATAGTAAAACTAAGATTCGGCGGTCAACTCTGAAATGCACTAAGGAAACTGTATAAACTGCATGTTGCTTATTATCATCAAAGTGTTTAGCTTGCCTTACCTGTATAGATTGTACACTAAATAAAAGTTGAAGCGAGGGCTTTCTTTCTTTCTTTTCTTTCTTTTTTGTTTGTCTTTGAAACAGAGTCTCACTATGGACCCCTGGCTGTCCTGGAACTTACTATGTAGACCAGGCTGGCCTCAAACTCACAGGCCTACTTCTGCCTCCTGAGTGCTGGGATTAAAGGTGTGTGCCACTACCCTGGCAAAGGGAGTTTTTTCTTTGTATGAAATTTCCATCAATAATTTAGATTATTCTGATACTTAAACAGCTCCCTGAATGAAAAAAAAAATAAACAAAGGAGACATGACTGCTCCTAGGTATGATGGAAGAGAAAGTTTGTTGTAGATAGAAGGGAGAGCACAGCCCGAGGCAGAGACATCTGGGAGAGTCCAAAGTGAACATAACCCTGAGCTAGGCCATGTGAGGAGATGGGGGAGGGGAAAGCCAGGAGACCAAGGGCCAGGAGAGTAAAGGATAGACAAAAGGGCTGGGTAACCAAATGGCTGGACTATATAAGGAAGGGCAGCTGGGGGAAGGGCAGCCCAGCCCCTGGGCTGGAGAAGTTTAGGGTAGTGTTGGGCTGTGCCAGCCATACCATGTAACAGGTAAGGGCTGTGGGATGATGGGGGAACCTGGCAGTCAGGCCTGATTTAGTGTGTTAAATAGGGACCTCAGCCGTTTGTCCTGGCTTTGAGACCTAACACCCTGCCATGGAGAGCCAAGCACTATTCACCGTAAGTCAACTGGGTTCATGACTCTGCTTTCCATAACTAATCACAAAGCAAATACTGTTTCTTGAGATCTAGATGACCCCACCCTACAGAACTCCCACCCCTGCTGAACTCTAGTCTTGAGGACCTCACCCTTGATGAACCCTGGCCCAGAGGACCCCAGCCCTGAGGATTTCATCAATAGTTAGTTTTGCAGAAGGAAAGACTCAATTAAAATATTAGCATTTTGCAAAGCTTAAAGAAAAAAAACTTACTTAGGTGGGTATCTACCAAACCGTGTATTTTTTTTTCAAAGATTTTATTTTTTTATTATGTATACAGCATATATGACAGCATGCCAGAAGAGGGCACCAGATCTCATTACAGATGGTTGAGCCACCATGTGGTTGCTGGGAATTGAACTCAGGGCCTCTGGAAGAGCAGTCAGTGCTCTTAACCTCTGAGCCATCTCTCCAGCCCCAAACTGTGTATTTTTGTCTGTCAACTATGCCTCCATAAAGTCAGAGAAAAAGGAAATGGATCTAGACTGTGATTCTTATCCTGTGTGTTAGTTAGCATCCTGTGCTTTAACAGGTGGGGGCCTCAAGGTGGAGTCCTCGGAAGCAAGGGACACCAGAGGGTGGAGGTTGCCAGGGGTGGGGTCACCAAAAGTGGAGGTCCTCAGGAGTGTGGGGCATTTACCCACCAACCCCACAGTTCCCCAGAGTTTTCTTGAGTTCGAGCAGCAGGAAATATTAGATAGGAGGATTTAGATTGGGAGATAATCAGATAGAAAATAAAGGATAGCCTTGAGAGGGCCTGGAACCTATTCCAATGGGCCCCGACTATCTCTGCCTCAGGATATTTATAGAGACGCCAAGGGGTGGAGCAAAAGACCTCCTCCCCCAGCACAGCCAAGTGCAGACCATCCCAGACACCTGCACTCAGGCCCGTGGCCCTAATCATCCTCTATGAGGACCTGCTGGGCAAAGCCACAAGAAACTTGAAAACGGGCTTTCACACAGGAGTAAGGCTACCAGGCATGGGGGTACTCAAGGACAGAGATCACCAGGGGTGAAATTCTCAGGGTTGGAGGTTCTCAGGGATGGGGTACTCAGGAGTATGGTCCTTGTCATCACAAAAACTTCTGGCACCCAAGTGGGGGACCTGACCCAGCCCCTCAGGAGCTGTAGCACTTGGGAGAACAGCCCCAAGAGGGCCTGCCCTGAGGTCCTGAAAGTAGGAGAGCTGACCCGCCCTCCTGGTCTGCCATGTGGTGGTGAGGGCAAAGGAAAGATGCCCTCCCCTCTTGCCCTTTGTCCCTTGCATCAGGTGGGACAGCTGACCCAGCCCCTCACCAGCTGTAGCACTTGGGAAAGCAGGCTCTGTGCCTCACCTGGGCAGCACCGTAGAGCTGCCCTGTTGATAGGGACTTGGAGGCATGGGCATCAGCCCGAGAACAGCTGCAGCACTGAGCAGAGTGGCCCCTACGCCTCACCTGGGCAACACAATCGAGCTAGCCCTGGTGGTGTGTAGGTGTGGGTGAGCCGGCCCTGAGGGTGTGAAAACAGGAGAACCTGCCCAGCCCCTTGCTCAATGCTGCATAGAGTGAACTTGCCAGGGCAATGCTGGAGGATTCACCCTAGTGGTGAGGACAAGAGAGAGCTAGCTAGTGGGCTGACCAACCCTGCAACCCCCAGGCCCATAACCCAGGCTATGTGTTGGCCCACCCCCAAATCCACCCCATCTATGAATGGACTGGTTCTGCAGATCCAAAGCTGCAGAATCTCCACGACACAGGACAACAACAGGATATCCAAGAGGAGTCCCAGTGAGGGCCTCGTATAGATGGTGTAGCAGAAACCAGAGGCCTCAAACCAGACCTTTACAGTGAACACTTGCAAGTAAAGATGAATGAACTAAAGGGTACGCTGTGTGACTTCACTGTGTCACACTACAGCTTCAACAGCCAGATTTTTCCTTTTCTTTTTCCCCTCTTTTTTCTTTTCTCTTAAGTCAGTCTTATTTTGTGGGGGGAGGTTCCAAGGGCAGAGAGTAGATACTAAGGGACAGGGAGATGAATAGGATCAA